TGAATTCGTACTCAAATGCCTAATTTTACGAGATGATAATGTGTGGCGGTGCTTGTGACGGTAATCTTGCTGCGGCTCGGCGGCGTTATGACGAGCGCCACGTGTCAGGAAGATCTGAAAACCATCGACGTCTTCCTTCTTACCGGTGATTCGCGGCATTTGTGAATTGGTTACATACAACTGGTTCATTCCATAGTGTGCCACAGGTAGGCCGGCCGATCACCTATTCCATCGAGACAGAGGATATGACTTTACGTCGAGAGTAACACGACACGGTCTGTGTCGAGTCGAATGGAGATGTGTGTTTTATGCGGTGGCCGGCATATCGAGACCCTGGACTGATAAAGTGGAGGTGAAGTGTAGGTAATGTTGACAAGTGAAAGCTGTAAGAGTGATTAGAACGCTGTAGGTATGTACCTATTTAATCTTAAATTGTTTTAATTACAAGTAAACTCATACGTAGTCGAGTGCGCGCGTCGGCAACATCAAAATGTATTCAAGGAAACGAGAGAGTGAGAGGTAATGAGAGAGAGAGAGAGAGAGAGAAAGAGCGAGTGCGCCGGGACGGCACGTATAAGCTTACAGGGTTGTAGCATAGTAATTGAAAACAAATTGTTCAAATATTTGTATGAAAATATCAATTTACGTGAAATTGTTTTTTGACCTATCAATTGTGTTCTTTGTGCTAGGTTGTATGGCCATGTTTCGGGATTATACAGGTATTACCAAACACGCTGTAGATAGGTACAATTTTATATGGCCCTAGTCAACCGTTCGCAATAATTAGGTCTCGGCCATCCACTATCCTGGTAGTGCTCCGACGAGATGTACGGCTGAAGAGGTCCAGTGATCTGGATGTTAGGGCCAGAAGATGGGTCCGAAGCCAGTGCTTCAGCACCCAGATGTTATGTGATCATGAAGATTCTCAGGCGCGGGAAGGAACCCTAAATGAAATTACAAAAATGTCACGGCCATCAGGTTGGCTGCGACATCACTGGTCTTCAGGCGGTGCGAGGTAAGAAGCAGGAACAGATGGAATAACGCCATGGGTAATGATCAGTGATGAAGCAGACAAACAGGCAAGATAATTAAGAAAAGAAAAATGCTGTGACAAATAGCTATTTCGCTATCATATATTTTTTTTCTATAACAAAAAAACCAAAAATTTGGCTAACCAGATTGCTCCTATTGAGCACTCTTTTATTGACATGACTGTCAGTAATAATCCTACTGACATTGCGACGAATTCGTCTTTAAATTAGATATTAAGACAACAGAGGATTCCTTTTGCTTGTTATTGAATAGTCAAAGTAATAATGGAACCAAGAGTTTATCAGTCATCAACCTAGTGCACCAAAATGTTCAAGGAATGTTGAGTAAAGAGTTGGAAGTAGAATTATTCATGAACTGTAACAATATTGATATTTTCTGTATTACGGAACATCGGTTAACAAGTTATAATTGCATTTTTAACTTCAATAATCACCTGGTCGGTAGCGCGTTCATTAGGAAAAACGCAATGCGTGGTGGCGCACTAATTTTATTAAATAAAAAGTTTAAATTTAAAGAACGTAGAGATATAGTGAGCCTATCGGTTGAGGAAATAATAGAGATTGCCTGCATAGAGCTGGACCAACTGATTGTACTGAGCGTATATAGACCTCTTTCAAGTTTAGTTTCTCATTATGATCTTTTTGAAACAGTTATGGATGAAGCTTTAAAAAATGTATATAACAAAGGCAAACGATTAGTGATTGGGGGTGATTTTAACGTTGATTTATTAGGAAACTCCAATTCATGTACAAGGCTTGTAAATCTATTTATGTCCTATAATCATGCGCACATGTTTAAGGAGCCTACTAGAGTAACTGCTACTTCGTCCACATGTATTGACAACATTTTTACAGATCTGGTACCATTTTCAAAACAGATAATTAAACAACTACCGTCAGATCATTTTGGACAAATAGTTAGCTTTCCGCATAAATGTACGTTTGTGGCTAGGAGAGACATTACAGTTGTGTCAAAAAGTATGAGTCGCTTGGAACGTTTTAAAAATGAATTAGATAGTAAATTGTATCATTTGAAACATAATAGTAATCCCAATGATTTGTACAAAGATTTCTTTGATGTTTATTGTACAGAATTCAATAAGATTTTTGTCCCAAAAAAAATTAGTATTAGTAATCCTATAACTTTTAGTGTGTGGGCTACACCAGGAATCTACAAAAGCAGAAAAAGGCTCTATGAACTATATGATGAACGTAATTATAACACAAGTGAGGACTTCAAAGAATATGTACGAAATTACTCTAAATTATTTAAAAAAGTGTGTCGTTTAGCCCAATGTAATTATTTAAATGCAAAATTTGAAACTAGTAAAGACAAAGTTAAAATGTCGTGGAATATCATAAATAGTGAAACTGGAAGAGAAAAATCCCGGAATATAAATTTTAATTTAAACATTGATAATAAAAAAGTAACATCAGATCTTGAAGTTGCTACAGTATTTGAAAATTTATTTATTGAAATTCCAGTCTTAATTACACAATCTTTGAATTCCTCTTCCGCTGTTGCTGAATCTATTTTATAGGCAAGTTTAAATAACTCTAATAGCCAATTTAAGTTTCAACACATTGATTTTAAAGATATAATAAAATCTTTTAACCAGCTTAAGAAAAAGAAAACCTCTGATTTATGGGGTAATTCCATTGAAGTTTCTAAATCGGTAATTGAGACAATAGCTCCAATCTTAGCTTATATATTTAATGAATGTACTGATTGTAGTATTTTTCCTGAGCTCATGAAATATAGTAAAATTATTCCTTTACATAAATCGAGTAGCACATCTGACCCTGCTAACTTTAAACCTATATCCGTGCTACCTACGTTTAGTAAGATTTTTGAAAAAATCATGCTGGATCAAATACAAACTTACTTTTACAAGAATAAGCTTATAAATCGACAACAATTTGGTTTTACAAGGGGTCGCTCAATAACCGAAGCCGGTGTCGAGTTAATACAAGAAATTTTTAATGCCTGGGAGGATTCACGTGATGCGTTAGGTGTTTTCTGTGACCTATCTAAGGCATTTGATTGTGTTTTTCATGAAACATTGATTAGGAATCTGCATTTTTATGGATTTAGAGATAACTCATTGGATTTTACTGTCTCATACTTGACTAATAGAGTACAGAAGGTTGATATCAATGGCAAAAGATCCCCTGGATCGAAAGTTAAGATGGGTGTTCCGCAGGGCTCAATACTTGGTCCTTTCTTGTTTTTGATTTACATAAATGACTTGCCTTATTTCGTAAGGGTGTAACGTTGTATTTTAAGAATAAATAATAAGAATAAAAATAAAAATAAACATTAAAATATAAGAAATTAAAAGCGTTATTTACAATACAGTGAATAATGAGACAGACACTTATCTAAACAAAATTTTAATTATAAAGGGTAATAAAGTAAATAAATTGAGTTGGTTATAAACATTAAATGCAAGCAACGAAGGTTACGTCTCTAATGTGGATGCACATCACTTGAATGTTGAGTTTTTTTGCTATATCATTGTTTCAGTGGAGGAGCGCCGGCGACCGCTCGCCGACATACTAATTTTCGACGTTGGACGTGACGGCTGCGTCAATCGCTCTAAATTATGAAACAAATTTTTACGATATTTCCCACTAGGGAATTACATACCTTATATAAACCATCCGAGGATGTCACCAGCTTGGTGAAATTGGCTGCAGCAATATATAAAAATTATTAAAGGGGAAAACGAAGCTACTATACCAGTACACATGACTATTACGTATAAACGCTAATGAGTTATTTTTTCTGAATGAGAATTGGAGGACCGTGGTCTCAAGTATACCAGAGAAGACGAGGAGTTCAGGCCAGTGTTCTTTCCTACCTTATCTCAATCGAAGTGTAAGGCGGCCACACAAAAAATAATTGGAAATAAATGTAATTTTTTGATAAATTTGCATTATTCGAACCAACACCTTATCGCAAGGGATGATCACGAAATAGTTTTGTTTGCGGATGACACTTCACTTTTGTATAAAATTAAAAGAGGGTTACCTCTAAATGACGATGTGAACAATTCTATCGCTAAAGTAGTACATTGGTTTAATGTGAATAATCTTCTCCTTAATGAAGAAAAAACAAAATGCTTAAAATTTGTACTACCTAATGTTAAAAAAGTAGATATAAATGTTAATATAAAAGATAAGAACATGGGCCTTGTGGATACCACAGTATTTTTAGGAATAACATTAGATTCTAAACTATAGTGGGGCCCACATATTGATAGATTGTCGAGTGGACTTAGCTCTGCAGCATATGCCGTAATGAAAATACGTAGGTTAACTGACATAGATACTGCCAGATTAGTATACTTCAGTTACTTTCATAGTGTAATGTCGTACGGAATCCTATTGTGGGGAAATGCTGCCGACATACAAACAATTTTTGTGCTTCAGAAAAGAGCAATTCGATCAATTTATAATCTTAGGATTAGGGACTCTTTAAGGGAGAAATTTAAGGAAATAGACATTATGACTGTTGCTTCTCAATACATATACGAGAACTTAATGTACGTTCGTAAAAATATTAGTTTGTTTTCTATAAGAAGTGATGTACACAATTTTAATACAAGAAATAAAAATAAATTAACGGTGCCTGTCACTAGACTGCAAAAAGTTAATAAGTCGTTTAAGGGTCTTTGTGTGCGCTTCTACGATAAGGTCTGAAGCAAAATACAACAATTAGATATCATGTAGTTTAAATCATATTTAAACTGCTGTTTAAAGTACATTTTAAAGTAGTGGTGTAATGCTCATAATTTTTTGCTATAGATATCAGACATGAAATTATACGACAATGTTATTATAATATCAATTTATTAATATAACAAAATTAAATAATAACATTATAATTCAATCATTAAATTTCGAATTGTTACAAACTACGAAAGTTAAATAGCGATACCGAAATCAATGAGACACTTGAGCTTGAACTTGGGAAACTAATCCATCGATATTTGGATTAATTCCACTGATACAAAGACGTAAAAAAAGTTCCAAATTATTATTACTTTCATCAGTGAAAAGAACTGTTCGCATTTATAAGTACTGCCAAACGCACAAATCAATCTTCTTGCGAATTTTCTAAGCTGCGGAAAATGGTCTTCTACGAGGTTTTTTTTGTAAAAATCACACAACTCCACGTCTTCAAATTTAGATGTTTGTAGTGAGTTTTCTTGAATCTCGATCAATTTCATTTGCAAGTGTATTGGAGCATTTTGTACATTACTTTTTGTTGGAGTAGCAAATAAATTGAAACAGACCCCCATGTTTCTGAAATCGCTAAATCTGTTCGAAAATTGCTCCGACAGTACCTTGAGTTCTTCAGCATATTGAGCATAAGCAATATTCTCACACGCAGAGAGTATGATGAAATGGTAACTGTTTCCAGACAGCATCAGTGCCTGCCACAAGCGGATTTAATTCTGAAATGCTTTCAAATGGCTGTACAAATCATTACTGTCCTTGTTTTTGAAGTTTTAAATTTAAGTCGTTCAAATAGCCAGTAAGGTCAACCAGGTATGCTAAGCCACATTTCCATTTTGGGTATTCCAAATCAAATTCAGATAGGGGTTTATCTTTTATTTGCATAAAGTCTTTTTTCTTATTTATAAGCCATCTGACTTCAGAATAAAATATTACGTCGTCATATTCGTCTGATATTTCATCCAAAAACGCCTTGATTTGACGAAGGTTAAGCCCTCGGGATCAAATAAAATTGATGGATTATGTAGTCGAATGGACTTAGAACACAAGTTTTGTTGGTAGATAATGCAGTAAAGGAATATCAAATTACCTTTTTGTAAATTCAATTCAGTTGCTTTTTCGTTCAAAATTCCGATGAAACCTTGACGTAAGCTGATCATGGAAGGTGCACCATCTGTGCATACTCCAACTAATTTTGACCATGGCAAGGCGAAACTTGTAAATACCTTTTGAAATTCATTAAGAATGTCTTCTCCTGTAGTGGTTCCTTTTAGCGACTGGAAAGCAAGCACCCTCTGCATGTACTTTTTATTTCTTTCCACCAGACATCGTTTTCGTATACAAAATATAATAAGTAAGCACTCAAGATGCACGCAAAGTCAAAGTCAAAATAATCTTTATTCAAATAGACTTCTTAAAAGTACTTTTGAATCGTCCAACATTTTTTCCCTACCACTCGTTCAGGACGTCTTTTGGCTGATAAGAAGAACGAGCAAGAAACTCACCAGCTCTAATAAGAGTAATGACATTTACAAAAACCATGTCATTACCAGATCAATACATTATAAACAGAGATAGAAAAAAAAAACTATGGTCTTATAATGATAACATAATCATTTAATAACAATGGAAACAAGATAATGAGTTTAGAAGTAATCACCTATCCAGTTGCTGGATCATCTCAAGTCCAAGCGTTCTTATCTGTTATTTAATCGGATACCTTATAATAAGCTTTTTAATAATTATTTTTTTAATAGTAGATTTAAACTGCATGATATCTAATTGTTGTATTTTGCTTGGGACCTTATTGTAGAAGCGCACACAAAGACCCTTAAACGAGTTATTAACTTTTTGCAGTCTAGTGACAGGCACCGGTAATTTATTTTTATTTCTTGTATTAAAATTGTGTACATCACTTTTTATAGAAAACAAACGAACGAACGTAAATTAAGTTCTCGTATATGTATTGAGAAGCAACAGTCATAATGTCTATTTCCTTAAATTTCTCCCTTAAAGAGTCCCTAATCCTAAGATTATAAATTGCTCGAATTGCTCTTTTCTGAAGCACAAAAATTGTTTGTATGTCGGCAGCATTTCCCCACAATAGGATACCGTACTACATAACCCTATGAAAGTAACTGAAGTATACTAATCTGGCAGTATCTATGTCAGTTAACCTACGTATCTTCATTACGGCATATGCTGCAGAGCTAAGTCTACTCGACAATCTATCAATATGTGGGCCCCACTGTATTTTAGAATCTAATGTTATTCCTAAAAATACTGTGGTATCCACAAGGCGCATGTTCTTATCTTTTATATTAACATTTATATCTACTTTTTTAACATTAGGTAGTACAAATTTTAAGCATTTTGTTTTTCCTTCATTAAGGAGAAGATTATTTACATTAAATCAACTTTAGCGATAGAATTGTTCACATCGTCATTTAGAGGTAACCCTCTTTTAATTTTAAACAAGAGTGAAGTGTCATCCGCAAACAAAACTATTTCGTGATCATCCCTTACGAAATAAGGCAAGTCATTTATGTAAATCAAAAACAAGAAAGGACCAAGTATTGAGCCCTGCGGAACGCCCATCTTAATTTTTGATCCAAGGGATCTTTTGCCATTGATATCAACCCTCTGTACTCTGTCAGTCAAGTATGAGACAGTAAAATCCAATGAGTTATCTCTAAATCCATAAAAATGCAGTTTCCTAATCAATGTTTCATGAAAAATACAATCAAATGCCTTAGATAGGTCACAGAAAACACCTAACGCATCATGTGAATCCTCCCAGGCATTAAAAATTTCTTGTATTAACTCGACACCGGCTTCGGTTGTCGAGCGACCCCTTGTAAAACCAAATTGTTGTCGATTCATAAGCTTATTCTTGTAAAAGTACGTTTGTATTTGATCCAGCATGATTTTTTCAAAAATCTTACTAAACGTAGGTAGTACGGATATAGGTCTAAAGTTAGTAGGGTCAGATGTGCTACCCGATTTATGTAAAGGAATAATTTAACTATATTTCATGAGCTCAGGAAAAATACCACAATCAGTACATTCATTAAATATATAAGCTAAGATTGGAGCTATTGTCTCAATTACCGATTTAGAAACTTCAATGGAATTACCCCATAAATCAGAGGTTTTCTTTTTCTTAAGCTGGTTAAAAGATTTTATTATATCTTTAAAATCAATGTGTTGAAACTTAAATTGGCTATTAGAATTATTTAAACTTGCCTATAAAATAGATTCAGCAACAGTGGAAGAGGAATTCAAAGATTGTGTAATTAAGACTGGAATTTCAATAAATAAATTTTCAAATACTGTAGGAACTTCAAGATCTGATGTTACTTTTTTATTACCAATGTTTAAATTAAAATTTATATTCCGGGATTTTTCTCTTCCAGTTTCACTATTTATGATATTCCACGTCATTTTAACTTTGTCTTTACTATTTTAAATTTTTGCATTTAAATAATTACATTTGGTTATACGACATACTTTTTTAAATAATTTAGAGTAATTTCGTACATATTCTTTGAAGTCCTCACTTGTGTTATAATTACGTTCATCATATAGTTCATAGAGCCTTTTTCTGCTTTTGTAGATTCCTGGTGTAGCCCACACACTAAAAGTTATAGGATTACTAATACTAATTTTTTTTGGGACAAAAATCTTATTGAATTCTGTACAATAAACATCAAAGAAATCTTTGTACAAATCATTGGGATTACTATTATGTTTCAAATGATACAATTTACTATCTAATTGATTTTTAAAACGTTCCAAGCGACTCATACTTTTTGACACAACTGTAATGTCTCTCCTAGCCACAAACGTACATTTATGCGGAAAGCTAACTATTTGTCCAAAATGATCTGACGGTAGTTGTTTAATTATCTGTTTTGAAAATGGTACCAGATCTGTAAAAATGTTGTCAATACATGTGGACGAAGTAGCAGTTACTCTAGTAGGCTCTTTAAACATGTGCGCATGATTATAGGACATAAATAGATTTACAAGTCTTGTACATAAATTGGAGTTTCCTAATAAATCAACGTTAAAATCACCCCCAATCACTAATTGTTTGCCTTTGTTATATACCTTTTTTAAAGCTTCATTCATAACTGTTTCAAAAAGATCATAATGAGAAACTAAACTTGAAGGAGGTCTATATACGCTTAGTACAATCAGCTGGTCCAGCTCTATACAGGCAATCTCTATTATTTCCTCAACCGATAGGCTCACTTTATCTCTACGTTCTTTAAATTTAAACTTTTTTTTAATAAATTAGTGCGCCACCACGCATTGCGTTTTTCCTAATGAACGCGCTACCAACCAGGTGATTATTGAAGTTAAAAATGCAATTATAACTTGTTAACCGATGTTCCGTTATACAGAAAATATCAATATTGTTACAGTTCATGAATAATTCTACTTCCAACTCTTTACTCAACATCCTTGAACATTTTGGTGCACTAGGTTGATGACTGATGAACTCTTGGTTCCATTATTACCTTGACTATTCAATAGCAAGCAAGAGGAATCCTCTGTTGTCTTAGTATCTAATTTAAAGACGAATTTGTCGCAATGTCAGTAGGGTTATTACTGACAGTCATGTCAATAGAAGAGTGCTCAATAGGAGCACTCTGGTTATTTTTGGCTGTTATAGAAAAAAAATATGATAGCGAAATAGCTATTTGTCTCTTATAACAATTGGAAAGATAATATTTATCTTTAGTCAAATAAAATTTTCTAACACACTTGTTAGTGTCAATGACATGAAACTTTGCAGTATTGCATATAGTGTGCAATGTCATATTCAATTTGTATCGCAAATTATTTTCTTCATTGGGAATCTATTGCAATACGGCAACGTAAAAATCACGACTTTCCCAACACTTAATGAATTTAATTCGTTTATATATTTCAATAATTTATGTTTGTTCAAAGTACCTCTATTGCCAATAAAAAACAATAAAGTGGTATTTTCGCTGTAGTTTTGTTTAATTGCTTTTTCCAAAATATCACTAAAAGAGGAATTAGGCATACAGAAGTTTGATGTTGAATGGCCCTTATCAAATAGCAGACGGCCCATGTTTCTGCCAATTTCATCATTGAACATTAAAATATTATTTTTATAGTTTTGTGAATTTATTGAGTGACGTTGGGAAAATTGTGATGGAGAGCAGTCATCAGTAACAGATGACTGAACAGGTACCTGAGTAAACAGTTGTGACTGGTGGGCAGATGACTGACAGGGTTTCTGTGTAACTGTATTTATAAATTGTTTCTGAAACTCATAAAGCAAATTGACGGCACTAGCATTTCGCTAGGATATCACTCGTCGAAGTTATCACCTAGGTAGCTCAAGTAGAACTGAACTAAAATCGGGCCATCCAACCACTTAATTGACAAAATAATTGAATGATCTAGAATCGTCTAGTGTAGAACAGTTGAGAAGAAATAATCTTTCGTTGCTCCGCCAGTGAGGCGGCAAACATCGAAGGCTTTGATGTTTGCCGTCTCACTCTTTGATAATCGCCGACACTATACTACAAGTTCATTCCCTATTTGAATTTACTAGTTTCGACAATGAATTTTGATACTTTATTTTTTTTATTTACTATACATACCTAGAGACAGCGGTGTAACTATTGTATACTTTTTTAAATTTGCTTATTCAAAACAGGATTATAATTATTATTATATAGTCCCTATTTGAATAATCATAAAGATACAATAGAACATTTATAGTTTCGATAATGTATTTTGATACTTTAGTATTTATGATCTTTAAATCTCCTTATTCAATACAGGATTAAGTTTAGATTTTTTCTTCAAATTGTATTCAATCCAAAACTGCTAATATCTGTAACTTTAGCGTTGAGGGTGTGATAGACGCTAAGATAATAGTATTATGCTAGCATAACTTCTTATTTCACCGCCTTCAGACTTCTTATTTCACCGCCTTCATACAACTAAGTACCTAGGTACTTAGCTGTATGAAGGCGGTGAAATAAGAAGTCCGACACTTGATAGTCACAGCACATTTACTTAGCACAGACATAGATAGAAGGAGTACAGAGAACAGCAGATAGATATACAAGCACACACGGTCTGTATGCTCCGTGGAAGTCGGCTGGTCCAAATCGATTGGATGAATTCCTTTGGTACGTTTGGACCGGCTAAGTCCTGCAGGTGCCGAAGAAATTCTGCCGGAGCTTGGAGATCGGAAGGCATCGGCCTTCCGATATTCAAGCTCCTTATGAGTCATCAATTGCCTCACCTTTTTCTCGTGGGAAGCAGTCAGTCGCTTGATCAACTCAGTTTTTATTGTAAAGTACCGGTTACGAGGTGGAGGATCCACGATAACATCCTTGACGGCTTTTACATGTATCATATCCAGGTTGGTGATGACGCTGGTAAATTTGACAGCATCGTCTCTAATGCCGTAAGCCTCAAATTGGCCTTCTAATAGTGCGAACCAAATTTCTGGGTCGTCCGGTGAAAATGTCGGAACCTTCAGATTGTACGGCTTAAAGCCGGATGGTTCGGGCGTGGAAACGCGCTTCGGTTTTTTTGTGCAACGGGTGACGTTGCCGTTCTCGCCTTTTTGCGAAGTCGCTGTGTCACTGCTGTCACTCATTGTTGTGTTAGCTTTCACATCGCAAGATTGTTCATATGTACATATATAATTGTCTTAATTTCAAATATAATAATGTCTATTTATAAATTTAATTAATGTTAATTGTACCGCGTTCCCAAGTTAAAACTACCGTCATGATAAATGTTGTTAAGTAGTCTACCGCCATTAATTGAATCGAATCAGTATCGAATAAAAGACACCTTGGGAACACGGTAGTGGGAAGGACGCAGTCTAACGCTGGCGTCGGAGAAGTGAAGACGTGTCGAATATAACTTTATAATAAATTGTGATTGTGATACTTATAATAAACATTTAATTAGACTCTGCGTTTCCAATTCAATTTAATCCGGTTTGCTATTAGATCAGAAGTGGGATTGCATCGAAAGAATCATCTTTGGTGTTACCATACGCCCAGTGTAGCGAAATAACAAGGTATAGTGCTTACATCTTATATTCCTAATATATTTTTTTTATCTTTTATATGCATGAGCCGTTATTTAGAACTAAATGAAGTATTTATATATCATTTTATATGATGGAAGTAAAATAAGTTCTTTTTTTTTAGTTACTTGATTCCATATTAAGTACTTACCCACCTAAATTATTAAAAATAAGATGCCCTAAGTAGAACATTGAAAAAAAAAAGC